AGGAAAATTGAGAATATTCACTGATTACTATACTTAAAAATTTTCACGAAAGAAAGAAAACACAACGTTACCTCGAAATTTTACAAGACAGCCGCTGTCTTTAATATACCAATGACTTTTACATCATGTTAACTAAATAGAATACGTATAGTACCTATACGATATAACTACATTTTTCAATTGGCCTTAATTTCGTTTGTAAAAAAAAAAATTCTGTAAAACCAGTGAGTGACCCAGCCACTCGAACCTAAGCAAAATGTACCGTATTAATACGAGAAAAAATTGACAAAAAATAAACTTAAATTCGAGCTGAGGTAGAATCTACTCTTTATAAATCAACTATTTTAATTTGGACCACTAATTGTGAAAAGCAAGGAATTGTCCAACTTTGGTACGTCCTTTTAGCAATACGCCTGCCACCAATCAGCAATCGATGTCCCCAAATAAACGTGCAAAGTTTTAACACAATTTTTGAAATAATTTTTTATCATGTACCGACGGCAGCAGATCACGCTACACTTTGACGCATCTTGGTCCGTCGCACTGGAGGCGTTGTTGACTGTTCTAGTATAATAAACGTCCTAAATATTGTTCACGCAAAAATAACATATAAAACATTGCTGTAACATTAAAATCTATTTTAGTGAAACTGCAATGTTTATTCTAGAATAAACACAAATTACGTCTGAATAAATAATCGTCAACCTACGTCTAAATACGTCGCACTGCTTAGCACGGGTCTACACTTCTAAAAAATTTAGTTTCATTTCATAAAAACACAAGTTAATTTGAATCCATTGTGTTCGTTATGCATTTTTTAGAAATAAATATGGTCCACATAAGTGGAAATAAATCTATCAGCCCCCGTAGCATGGCTACGAATGATAGTTGCGACGCGCGCGATAAAATTAAAATAAGCGCACGCTATTGACTGTCTCAATCAGACCTAACTTGTAGATGACTTTTGTCGTCGGGTTTTTTAATACTATGTACTGATATTTTTATAATATACGTTTATTCGGTACTGGTATATTACTGTCTTTCTTTTTGGAACTTCAGATACATGGAACTTACTACCTTCATGAATCAAGGTTACAGACGCGGTGGCAATGCCCCTTGGTTCTTTGCAATTTAAAGCTCTGAGGGACACTGTATGGTACACTTACTTTAGTAGCAAGAGAGCTCTTGTAAAACAGTTCATCCAGGGAAGTACTGCCCCCGTACCTATTTCTATTACTGTTTACATTACTGTAAGCCTTTTGAATGTAAGCGTGCTAGCTAAATTACAGGTACACGTCACTTGTCAACTTATGTCTCAAGGGCGCAGCGGCAGTGCCCGTCAGATCATTGTGATTTAAGGCTCTGAGTGACACTGGAACTGTTATAGACAGGCGTGTCGCTTACTGTTTTAGAAATATTTAAACATATAATTTATAATTTGATAATTTAAATTCATTAAATTAAGAATATTTTTATTTAACGTACACACTCAACATAGCCCTTCACTAGGGAAACCCTGTGTCGCGGGTGCCATGGACACACATATAGATAACCACAAAATACATCCAAACTCACTAGAGAAATAAATGTAGGCCGTACAAATATTTCTCCTGGCCCGAGAATCGAATTTAGGACCTCTGCGTGGCAGTCTCCTCGGCATGGTAACCGTCCAGCCACGGAGGCAGTTTATTAAA